AAAAATTGAAGGAAAGATTATTGGAAGAGGTAAAGAATAGAACGTAAATAATTGAAATAAAATGAAGTAAAATAGTATGGAATGGTGAAAATTATGTGAGAAATGGTGTAGGAATGGCTTAGGTATTTATAAGAAAAAAATAGAAATTTTTTCTTGTTTTTTTTATTTTGTAAAATTTTGTCCCAAAAAAAAAGATTTTCAAATCCAACGGTCACCTGTTGCTAGCTGACGTCATGCTAAAGCCAGGTAGCCGCTGGAGTTCAAAAAATGGACCGGCCTGAGGCAAGCTGGCTGACTCCTTTAGGTCAACTAGTTAGCCTGATTTGGTGTTTTTGCCTTGATGGGCCCACGAACCATTTGGCCTAGCCCTTGATTGGAGAAGATTTTCGTGGCATTTCTGATTATTTTTAGCCTTATGATTCTCTAGCTTAATCAGTTGGAGATGACCTTAGCACCTTGTCCATTCTCATGAAATTCACCTCGTTATCATCAATGAGCCATCACATCTTCATCCATGATGAATTCGTCCTTAGCCTATCAGGTACCCGCCACATGTCAAGTATGCATGTATGACACCCAATCCAAGTACATTAGTTGGCGGACCGACGTGTCAGGTGAATAAGAGCCGACCAAAATAGGCAAAAAGCGAAAATCTCAGCCCTATGGGCTCCACATGGTCCGTCAGTCATCTGTTGGGTTTGGTGGTTGAGTTTCCCTAACCGCTCCATATGTCGAAATCTAAACACATCTGAATTTGTGAGCACAGACCACCCTATTCATCTTTTTTTCGTAAGCCTTGTTTGCTTCTGTTTCATGCATGTAACTGTTTTTCTAATTTACTTTTATTAATTTTTAAGTTTGTGCGTTTTTGTCCATCCAAAAAAAAAAAAAAAAGAACTGCACCGACCAAAAAATTGATGTGGAAGACGTGGGAGAAAGTAAGAGCGACCATCTGGAATTTTTTTTTTTAAGATAATGCTAAAAAGATTAAATTTATAGATAACATTTTGAAAACTATACGACATAGAAGTTGATAATTAGTTTATTACTTAAGTATTGGAAATGTGCTCATTTAGTTTACGAACTCTTTTCGGTGACACATCATTTAGTTTACAAATTTAATCTCCAAATTTAGTCTCCCTAGCATTATCTTTTGTTTTAACAATGCCTGACTCTTCAAGAATAAATAGGCATTTTTACTCAAAATTTTTCGTGTATGAATCACTGAATTTTGTGATCATCTATGAAAAAAATGAATGAATACCAAGATCATTTAGTCAGTCTCTTCTAGCAAAATACATAGACGGTTCGTAATGCTTTATCAATTTCGTTTTTTTTGTTTTTACACAGTTCAATGACTAATGGTCCTTAGTTTTAATTGATTTTTTGCAGAGACGATCTTTATAGAATAATTATTATATGAACGTTGTCTGATCATAAACACAAAGTTTTATGAATCAGCAACAAATAATTTTGAGTAAGAACTTTCATCTATTTTTTGTGTAACCAAGTATTATTCATATATATTTTTCTAATTACAAGTTAAACAACATTTAGTGGAGGAATAGTATTTTATGCCCACATAGATTGTAAGGTTTTTCTTATTTTTATTTTCTTTATGAGGAAAGAGATAACTATTATGATAGGATACTAAGATGGGTTATCCAAATTAAGAGTTAGGTGTATGTTCGGTTAGATCATGGAACCCTTATTAGATGATTGACACTTGTCATGAGATTGGATGATTAGTTAGTTAGGTGGTTATTGTGTAGAAACTTACCTTGCAAGTCTGAGATAGATATATAGCAGACTAATTGTGCAAAGGAGGTTATGTGTTGAGAAAGTATGTGTTGAGCAATAATACAAACAGAGTTTATGTGCCATGCGTTGAAGGTTAGAACAAGGTTCTTATTATTGGTATCAGCTAATACGATCCCACGTTTCCCTTGCGTATGCTGAGAGCAACGACTCATGCCACAAAGATGGATGCTTGTGTCACTGCCCTTGAAGCTTCGAATTCCAGAATTGAAGAATCATTCAGAATCTCACAGCCCAGATGTCCAAATTCATGGTGTCCATGGAGACCCGTTTTTCATTTATCGAATCTCGTTCTGTTACCATACAGGAACAGGGTCGCGATCGTGGGGGTCCGTCGGAATTGAGGGGGTAATCCCATTGATTCAGACGAAACTTATAGCGATCAGAATCTTGATCCCAATCTTCAATTTTAGCGTTAAGATCCTCGATTCCGCCATCAAGATTCTCTATTTCAGTTTCGCTAACCACCAATCAAGCTTGACTTTCCAAGATTTGTTGATGGGGATGATCCCCTATCTTGGGTGTACAAAGCGGAGCATTTTTTTTACTATTTCTCGGTCGCCGACGATCGCAAGGTTCAATTGGCGTCCTTTCATCTTGATCATGAAGCTCTTCAATGGTTTCAATGGCAGAATTGTCTCAAGCATTTTCCCCGTTGGCCTGATTTTGTTCAGATTTTCTGTCGAGAGTTCGACCTTTCGGAGTATGAGGATTTCTCGGAAGCTTTGGTTCAATTGAAGCAAACTGGGTCAGTGAGGGATTATATCACAGAGTTCCGGCGTCTGGCTATAAAACCCATAAGATTGCTCCAGCAATGCTTAAAAGTTGTTTCATCGGGGGATTGAAACTGGAGCTTCGTCACAATGTGAAGCTTCTGCAACCATTGGATGTTTATGAGGCTCAGGTGCTAGCTTTACAAATCGATGCCAAGCTTGCTGATTCCAAGATCCGATCCTTCTTAAAAGCCCCAACTTTTTCTTGGCATAATTCAGTTGGCAATAAGGCTACACCAACCTATCAGGATTCAGGTACTTCTAATTCTTCTATTAATCTCCCTAAGCAGAGCACTGTTAAAAAGATAACATTTGAGGAAATTAGAAAACACAGGAAAAAGTGTCTTTGCTATTATTGTCTTGTCAAATGGTTTAAAGGGCATGTTTTCCAAAATCAGCAACTTCTACTACTTGATTTGTCTGATAGATCTGAAGAGATTTTTGATGTTGATCATGTGTTGAATGAGGGTGATGAATTATCGAATGCTCATATTACTGCTTGTGTTGTGTACGGTGTCTCTGCTCCTGATAATATTCAAACTATGAAGGTCCTAGGGTCTGTTAAACATTGCCCTGCAGTGATTCTTTCGACTCGGGTAGTTCTCATAATTTCATCAACTTTGCTTTCACCAAGAAGATGGGTTGGCGAATAGACCCACTTCAGAAGTTTGATGTGATGATCGCCAATAGTGGTACAATGACCAGTATGGGGTGTTGTTCTCATGTCAAAATTAATATCCAAGACTATGAATACATCTCGGATTTGTATGTTTTGCAGTTAGGGGGTTGTGATGTTGTCTTGGGTGCTCAGTGGCTGAGAACTTTGGGACCCATTCTCTGGGATTTCGAGAAATTAAAGATGGAATTCACTTTAAGCCAACGCCATTATTGCTTATGTAGTTCTCTTCCCCTTGCACCAAGGTCAGTGATAGCTTGTCACGTACAACAGTTGCTGACTCAAGGTTCTTTTGGAGTAGTTTTGTTTCTTATTGCTCCGGATGCTGCAATGGGTTAGTAGCTTACAAAATCAGACTTCTAGTTCACTCTAAATTACATCCTGTCTTCCATGTATCATGTTTGAAGAAGCAGTTGGGTGTGGGTGTGACTCCTACTACTACGTTCCCTGATGTCACGGATGAAGGATTATTACAAGCAACCCCATTAGCCATTCTACAGCATCGTGTGATCACCACAGCCAACTCACAGGTCCCTAAAGTTCTTGTTCATTGGAAGAATCATTGCAAGGAGGATGCAACATAGGAAGAGTATGACGATTTCAAGTGTAGATTTCCCCGTTTTCAACCTTGAGGACAAGGTCTGTTTCTATGGGTGGGGTAATGATAGGATACTAAGATGGGTTATCCAAATTAAGAGTTAGGTGTATGTTTGGTTAGATCATGGAACCCTTATTAGATGATTGACACTTGTCATGAGATTGGACGATTAGTTAGTTAGGTGGTTATTGTGTAGAAACTTACCTTGCAAGTCCGAGATAGATATATAGCAGACTAATTGTGCAAAGGAACCATGTGTTGAGAAAGTATGTGTTGAGCAATAATACAAACAGAGTTTATGTGCCATGTGTTGAAGGTTAGAACAAGGTTCTTAGTATATTACAATTTAGAGAAATAATGCCCAATTATATTCTCAAAGAATAATTGAAGGGATGCGTTTTCATTTGGAATTGGCATTTAAATCCCAAGGCAAGATGACGTGCATAATTTCTGCAATTGCATATAATTAAAGGGATATGCTAATGTTTCTCATATGTGAATTAGAAAGAGGTGAAATGCAACACCACGAAAGAAAGAAGTGGAGTTTGTGGAATCGATCCCTTGTAAGATATTCAAAATCAAACACCCTATATTTATCTAATACTATCGTATGTCATCACATTTTCTGTTTGAACTTTTTTTTTCTTTTTTTAAAAAAAGAAAAGAAAAAAGAGATTGAAAGAATGACTGAACATGTGAGTAGGAAGAGCGGTTTTTCTTTTTTCCTTTCAATTTTTTAGAATTTGATACATGACAAAATCGCATGCACGTGTGTTTAAATAAAAAACAATAAAATTTTGTTATATAAAAATATGTTGCTGCTCTTTATTTATTTATTTTTGTAATAGAAGACTAAATAGTTTTTTCATCCTCTTTTAATTAACTAAGAAGATTATATAATAGTAGATAGTTTAGATTATTGTTTGTTTATTTGTCAACCATAGAGGAGAGAGATGAGCACTTAAATGTGTTACCTTTTTTATTTTTATTTAAAAAAACGTGGTAGACTTTTTTCAAAGCAAAAACTAGTTGTTTTCATCTTAGTCGGAAAATTTTAAAGAATAAATAGTTGAAAGATGAAAACTTTCTTATCCCTCCCTCTCATGCTTCGGGAAGGGCCCAAAAAAATCACGTCTTGAAAACGAAAGCCAGCAAAAAACATGCCTAATTAATCGGCATTTAAGCATATAAAGAGGCCGTACAATCTCTCTCATATTTAAAGCCTTAGCCAGAACTCAGAAGAGAAAACCCGTTCCCCACCATAAAACAGAGCGAGCCAGAAAAAAGCTAAAGCAGAAATAAGCAGCTCTTTTGGCAAAAGCACTTCGAACTCGCGTGAGTCACGAGAGTCCCATCGGGGGGAATAAGAAAAGCAAGCTCACAAGAAAGAGAGCAGAGGTGGGGAAATGGAGAAGAAAAGTGGAAGTGGGAGTGGTGGTGGGCAGGTGGTGGACGGTTCAAATATAATGAAATTGGTTGGGAACGAGGAGGTGTTTAGTAACTTTGTGGGGCATAAGTTTGAGGAGCTCGACAGGGACAGAGACGGCCACCTCTCTCTGAACGAGCTCCACCCTGCTGTCGCCGATATCGGCCTTGCTCTTGGCTTGCCGGCTCAGGGTTCGTCCCCCGACTCCGATCACATATATTCTGAGGTACTAAGTTTTTCCTCTTCCCTATTCTTCTTCCACGTGTTGAAAGATCTCGTGTTCTGCGGCCGATTATCAATTGGTTTTGAGTGGATGCGTGAAACCTAACGTGGCGTGTTAGATTGTTGCGCGTCTTATCCTCAATAAAAGTCCATTTGGTTTTAGAAAAATGATTTTCGCTCTATTTTTTTTTCCTGCAATTTGTCATTAGGATGTGCAGAAATCAGTTTTTAGGATGGATTTAATTGAGAATTTGAGGGATTTTAATAGATTTATAAATTTATAAATTTTTATGGAATTTAATTTATTTGTAGAGATATATAATATTTTGATTTAATTCTCTCGAAATCTCATGGATAGAGGAAAGATTTGTGGATGTTTAAAATACATTAGAAAATCTCTTCATTTTACTCTAATTCCTCAACTTTCTCCATTTCTTTAAAATCAATTTCTAATTGAAAAAAATATTAAAAACTTCTTTTAAATTCTAATTAAATACATCCGAATTTCTAAAATTTTTAATAAATTATCTTAAAATTCTAATTGAATATACCTTAAATTTTATAAAATCTTAATTGAATACTTCTAGATTCATTAAAAGAATCAAAATCCTTTAAAATTCCAGTTGAATGCACCTTAATTTAAAAAGATTTGGTTTTCTCGACTGATTCCCTATCGATTTTGTGTTAAATGATTCTAATTCTAACATGTTATATGCTACTCGTTCTCCCACGTTGCCACGCACAGCGATCATCTATTAATTATATTCACTACCATTTTTCTTTTCTTTATTTGCTTGTACATATATAACTAATGTTTTCTTGTCAAGCTCATATTTGTACGCCAACATGGCTAACTGTTCTCTTATCAAATTAGTGGCTTTTGGAAGAAGCACAATATATGTGCTTCTTGCAAACAAGAACTTCAAGTTCTTTTTCAGATTTCACTTGAATTTTTTTCAAAAATTAGTTTAAGAACATTTTCATCAAAAATACTTTCAGTCATTTAAAAATAAATTTCAAACGAGCTAGGTTGGGAAACTTGTAATTAACAAGTAAGGCTACGCGTTAAAAATGGTTCAAATTCACTATCTGACTACACAATATGAAACGGTGTGATATAGTATTTATGTAGAAATGTTGTTTGATGGAACAATACTTAACAAAATTGTAATTGCAATACCATTTTCTTTGATTTTGTACTGAATTGCTGTATAATTATGTTGGTGTTGATTATTGATTGAATGATGTTTTCTGCGATTTTGTGCTGAATTAAACAGATAATAGTTAATTCTTGGCAAGATTGCCTTCTGGATTGTCTAATGACTCTAATATTTACTAGTCTTTTTTTTTATGGCCAGGCTAATCTCTAGTAATCTACTAAATTTTCAAATCAAATTTAGACTTCTAATATGGAATGCTGCAATCTTAATAAGATAAAATTGCTACGTATGATCTTGACTTTCGAGCTTTTGATTGCGTGGTTTTGGTATTATCAAATTTGTTGCGTCTATTTTTAATGTTTAAGACAGGAGATTGTTGTTCTTTGCTTTGTTTGGTCTATTTGTATACTGGGATTTCCATTTCTAGATAGCCCCAGAAGAATCCAACCGATGACCTAGCATTGTTGGTCTGATTATATGACTTTACTCTTCAGTTCGACATCCCTTTCCTTCTTTTTTTTTTTTTAGCTTAGAAATTCTTTTCCTTTTATCTTCTTATGCTGAGAGGGATCTGGTGAAGAACTATGTCGAAACTTAATATTATTCAAGAAGATATAGTGTGACGAAAGCCGTAATATTATGCCATGATGTTGTATGATGGGGCCGGTGCCTGCCTAAATTTTCAAAAGGCAGTGGTTTTGTGGGGAAGGGAGTAGAAGTCAAAAAGTATTCTTTGAGGGGCTTGCTTTTGAACAAAGTAACAACCTTACCTAATCATCTCATAATGTTGCTGCACTTTATATTAGTACAAGTACTTGACATCTTACTAAAGTAATGCCACCACTGTTAAGCACGCTGAATAATCGAGGAATCGGAATAATTCTAAAGCCAATACAATGTTGCATCGCGAAGAAGCTTTCAGTTTAATTAATAGTTAACATCTTAGGGTTGGCAAGTAAAGATCAGATTGGACATAACTTTTGAGAGTATTATCCTACTTTGGAAATTGAGAGTACGCCTCTACACGTGTTGGTCCAATGGTCGCAGGTGCTCTAATGTCCATGTGTGTGACTTGAGTGATGTCCATACTAGAAAACTTATTGGTAGATTGTATAAACTTGTACTGAGAAAAACCAGTAAACCAGATTTCTTTGGACAACATTGACTGTTTTGTTCCAATGTTCTTAGGTACTGAATGAATTCACTCATGGGAAACAACAAAAAGTGAGCAAGACTGAGTTCAAAGAGGTTCTTTCGGATATTCTACTAGGCATGGCTGCTGGGTTGAAGCGAGACCCTATTGTAATCCTCCGTATTGATGGGGAAGACCTCCTAGAATTCATTGATGGGCCAACTTTTGAATCAGAGATGATGGCTACTTATTCTGAGATAAAGTCAGCTGATGGAACCCTCCGTGACTGTATAATCAAAGCTTTGGAAAAACTCACGGTTGAACAAGGGATGCCCCCTTCATCAGATTCTTGGGTAGTTGGTCTTCTCTAATTAAGATTTTTCAGTACTAGCAGTTTGCCCTACAAAGTTACATGTTGCATTGAACATTTTCATTCTTAACGGCTTTTTTTTCCGTCTTTTCCTCTTCGTTGGTTACTTTTGTTCTTTAGGTTGTGAGCAATATCGTGGAACCTGCTCTGCAGTCATGCACTGGCCATGATTTGGACAAGACGGTCTCTCAAGAAACATTCTTAGCCGAATTCAAGGAAGTAGCAGAGTTTGTGGCACATCGTCTTCAGGAGCAACCTGTGATTGTAGCCCACAGTGAAAATGACTTTGATGGAAGCGACATCAAGAGACTGTTGTCCAACAAGTTTGAATTAGACAAGGTTTGCCTCATAAAAATCCCTCGTCCTTTTGCTTCTGACCAATTATACTCACAAATGTTGTCGGAATCTATGCTCTTTTAAGTATGTCCTATTTCGCTTACAGTGCCCTGACTCACTGAAATCGCTTACAACAATCTGTTGTAAAATGCAGACGCTGAATGCAGCTATTGAAACTGTTCCGAGAGACCGCAATGGGAAATTATCCAAGGAATATTTGCGCGTGGCGCTGGAAGCAGTAGGTCCAACAGCTGGTCTGCCACCACTTGGTGCAGTTGAGCAGGTTCTCTTTAAATAGCATACCCATCTTTATATTTGATTTTAAACTCAGACAGCTTCTTCCTTCAGTGCTTCCTGAGCTTTGATCGTTTATACCTTCAGCAGATGTTCATAAATTTTTTACAATGAAAATCTGCAGATGGATAAGGTTGTGCAGGATGCATTCAACATGGTTAACGCAGATGACGGAAAGCTGCTTAAAGAAGACGAGTTCAAGAAGTTACTGACTGAAATCCTGGGGAGTATCATGTTGCAATTGGAGGGAAATCCGATTTCAGTTCACTCTAATTCGGTTGTCCACGAGCCCCTCAACGCTTCTTCTACTCTACTGCAGCCAACTCCCGAGTTATAGATCACAGCTCTCGTGGATATGTCAAGTGTAACAACAATAAAAGCCGCAGTAAAATTTTGATGAAGAAATGGTTACTACTACAAGATTCTGTGTTTCTTAGGTATTGTAATCACGTTAATGAAATGCTCTTAGTGTGCAAATTTAGTTAGAGATGGAGCCAACACTTATCAATGTCCACCACTATATATGTTGTCACTGATTTCTGATGTTTGAATACATTTAAGGGTTTGAGCTAATGAGTGAAATTGGTACCAAAGCAAATGGAACCAGAAATTGCCAGTTTGTTAATGCATGGTAACTCTACTTGGTTAATTGGCCTTTACTAGATGTAAAAGAATCTTGTGCTAAATTCTTCCTCACGATCTTCGGAATTTACCCTTTTACCTTGTTGATGTTTTTTTTTTTTACTGTTCATAGACATGAAAGAGTGTAATGACGTTCTAAGATTCATATAACCAATCTCATCTAATGGGATAAGGTTTTGTTATGTCATTGTTGAATAGAAATGAAAGAGCAACTTATTGTGCATACATGTACTCCTAGCGTGTATTTTATCCCCCTACTTAGACTGCTGGTACTTTTAATATCAAAAATAGGAATAGAAAACCTTGCATATATTTATTTACACACTTTATTTATTTGTTTTTTATTTTTTAACATTTACACTATGTAGTGTTCCCACATAACTTTTGTATAAGGCCTATTAATTTTTATAGATATTTTAGAATAATTAACGAAAGTAAAAAAAGATCATATTCCAAAATTCATGTAAACCGTTTTTTATTAAAATAAAAGCAAATAATCGAAAACAAAAATATATTCGGTTTCCATTTTTTCCATTTTCTGGTTTACAATTACAAAAGATCAAGGGTGAATACTCTTGCCGACAGATGCCCAATCTCCAACTGCCATTCAAATTAAATGAAACCGCCACTAACACTATACCACCATTGGGCACAATAAATTTCATTCTTTAATATAAAAAGTTCGAAAACTGGTTATGTTGTTCTTTGATATAATTAGATGTTATAACGTAAAACAGTTAAGTATTTAGAAAATTGAGTTTAAAAAAAAAAACCTCTGTGTGTGAAAAACAATGTCACATTGCTTGGTATTTGTGTATATATGTAAACCTATAAATTTATTTAAATAATAAAAAAGAATGAACGCTTTAGTGTTTATATATGTAAACCTATTTAGATGATTATAAGAAACGCATAACATTGTGCCAAAATGTGGAGGAAGAGGAAAGCTATAGTGAAGACGGCAATGGGGGACAAGCAGCTTGGGATCAACTTCAGCTGAATCCAAGCATGATGGAAAAGGTTAGGGTGAACATTTGAGAAGCAGTTGCTACTAATTCTGTCGGAGCTGCTCTTCACATCTCTGAAACAATTTGGATCAAGAGGCACACGTAAATTAAAGTGAGAACACTATGGTTTACCTATGAGAAAATTTGGAACTTTTGTGGTCCTAATAGGTTAGTTCTTCCCTCGACATGACATTCGTTCTTCATCAAGGACGTCTTATCGATACATCAACAACACTATTGATTCAAATGCATCGACACTGACGATAAAAAATCCGTCAAAGAACGGACTTCACAAAAATATAAATCAAGCTGACCTTTGGTGAAATGAATTCATGGGTAACAATTGCAGCAAGAAGCTTTGGCCCCAAGGAATTTTGGGCACCGATCATGTCACAACTTCCACCAACTGATTTGGGTAATTTTTTTATCAGCTTCATTTTGGATTATGGAAAACTCCTCCATTGCCTCAAATTGATGAAGGAACTAAAATGGTTGAAGGGCTTCTGTATAAAAAAACCAAAAGAATACAGAAGAACAGACTACTATATATATTGCGAGTTCTAACCACTATTGGTCACTGAAACAAGTATTCAGGGTAGAAGGATTTTCCATTAATTACATAAGCTGTAGGGAAGTTGCCAGGAAGATTGGTACTTAGTACTTATCCGAAAGATGGGGAAATTTAAAATTCCATATTTTCTTAGGTTTTTGCTCTTCCAAGAAGGTAGGCAGCGGCCATGCATGCATTTTAATATGTAAATTAGATTGGTTGATACTTGGACGTGGAAGTCGAAATATATGAGGATGATTTTAAGCTAGTGCGTGATTGTGGTACTGTGGTACTGCCACAATGACTTCCCTTTAAATGAAAATCCTTCTCCATTTCATCTTTCAGGATGTACTATCAACAATTATGAGTCATTCACATTGACAACTTGATAAACAAGCATCTTCTCTAAGAAGCACACTCACTAGTATAATTATGAGGAAACCAACACCTACATTTGATGAGAGACAAGAGTTTAATACACAAGATACTCCAAAAATATCATTTTTTTTTCAGCACTTCAAAATAAATTACAACGAGGATCCTCGAGGAATGCTAATTCCAAAAAGATCCAACTTTAACCTGTACCGTATTACAAAACGAAAATTACTAATCCAAATACACGAGTATTTATATGTAAGTCCTAAAGAAGATACTGATCACAACTATATTTTATTTGCCAAAGATATGTCGAATTGAGAGTGATAATATCTAATCCATTAATAGTTACAAACCCATTTCTTACTTAGAAAGTGTCTTCACAATGTTCAAAGTATCATGCTTGAAGCCCTCCATATGGAAATGATGGCGCGGAATGATCTTAATGTACAAATAAAATGCCACACAAGCAACAGCAGGCCCAACCCAAAATACCCAATGCCCGTTCCAGAGGCGACCCCCGCGAATAAGTGCGGGGCCGAAACATCTAGCCGGGTTCATCCCGACTCCGGCGTACCCTTTTGCGGTGGTAACGGTGGTTGAGATAAAAACAAGGAGGCCCGCAACTATTCCGATGATAGAGAAGACTACAACTCGGCCCAAAGCATGGGCTTGGCGGTGGTCGAATGCTATCCAAATCGAAGCAAAGAGAAACACAAACGTGCAAAATATCTCAAGCCAAAGGGCTTGGGTGGTCTCAATGCCCATTATGATAGGCCCGTGTGGGCCTGGGGCAATGACAGTGAGGGTGCAACCTCCAAGTGAAAATGTTCCTTCAATGTTGTTGCTTACCACGGCCTTGAGTGCTAGGGCACCCAGTACCGCCCCGACGCATTGGCTCAAGATATAGACGGCAGCGCGTGAGAGGGAGATGAGGCCGAGAAGTGCCGCAGATAGCGTTACAACGGGGTGTTAACTACATTGTAAAATATAAAGTTGGTACATGAGAAAAGAAAGATGATAGAGAGAAAACTAGAAAGATTGTATTGATTGAATTGATGAAATGTATACAAATGAACTTAATGAAATACTAGCTATACAATCCCTTATATAGCCATATATTCCCATTACAATAATACCCCTCTAACTATATTTCTGTTATATCAGTTATTACCCCCCCTCAAACTAAACTTGGAGTATCCAAGTGAAGTTTGAGCTAGCCAGATATTTTGAGACTGATCTGGAGTAAGTCTTCAAGCTTTGGGAAGGTGACAATTACTCTGATAGTAGGAACCACTGGGATAGCAACCTTGACTGGAAACGTACCCATTGGCAGCTTTTCAACAGGACATTTGAGAACAACTTCCCATTCTCCAACTATTTGAATCCTTTCCAGTGATTTGTGGCGTACCTTCTTCATCTGGACCTTTTGAAATTTTCCATACAAAGCCTCTTATAAAATTGTAACACACCCTCAGGCCGGTTATAACAACTTCTTGCGGGATTACCCTTCGTGGGATTTACCGTCAACAACTTCATTTAACATTGGCTTCGGCCTTTAAACAGAAAAATAACAAACTATAGTGTGGCATCGGCCTTAACTATAGCACCACGGGATCGCCCTTTGTGGATTTTACCAAAATACAACTACTCTTAACAGTGGCATTGGCCTTCACAATTTCAACAACAGAAAATCAACAGCTATGTAGGATTACCCTTCGTGGGATTTACCTACTTACATCACGGAATTACCCTTCGTGGGATTTACCGTTTACAACTTCATCAAACTTCATCGTATAACCGGACTTACTGTAGATTCATGCTAACAATTGAGTTGGTTAGACTCGACATTATAGGCTGTAATAAGGAAAATACTGCACCACTCCTCAGTTAGCTGCTGAACAATCTTCTTAGACATTACAGTTCTGAATTTTGACACAAACCACAATCGGAACAACCACAAAATTGTACATACCAGAATGCAAGAATTCACACGCATTTTTCCAAATATATCAAGAGTTGCAGAAAGATCAAACCCAATAACCTTGCAGACCATCAGTGAAGCAGAGAAAGAATTGGACACCACCATACAAATTGCACAATCCATCAATAACCAATATTCTTGAATCCAAATATCACAAACATAGAAAGTAAGCAGAAGTGGCTGAAAAACTTAACCTTCTCGAAAATTCTGAGCTTGGCATTTCGGCAAACACTTGGGCTGCACATAACCAGACTACCAGACTACCAGAAATTGAACCAACCAGACTACCAGAAATTGAACCAAAACCAAATCTTTAAGCCTCCACAATTAACAATTCTTCAAGAAACCAACGAGCAAACTAGTTGACGATGACAATCGGCCTTGGAATTCATCAAACATAAAGAAATTCTCACTGACACAAATCAACAAACAGGTAGAATGCACAGACCTTTACTTTACTGAAACCCCATAATTCTAGAACCAAGAAACTCCACCAAGAACCAATCAAGAAATTCTCGGTCACAATTTTCACAACCCAAAATGCAGCAGAGATTTTGGTCGCCTTACTCCTCTCGGGTACCTGAAGATCAAGCTTTTGCGACTGTCAGCGGCGGCGCAGCTTCGCAGCAGCAGCAGCCACAACTGAAGCACCACCACAACAGAGCCAGCGCGGATGAACTCCCCGTCTACGACCCGCGATCCAGCACGGGAAAGAAAGAGGGTTCTTCAAGATCGGTGGAGAAGTGGGTCCATGCCATTCCGGTGATCGTGTTCTTCTGCCTCTTCGTGCTCTGGTGGTTCTCCGTCTCAGTAAAAGTGGCAGAATCAGTCTTTGATCGATTTCTTGGTGAACGAGCGAGGTGTGCATCCGATGATGGCGGAGAGGAGAGAAGAAGCCTCACCGCTTCAGGCCAGGAACTGTGGCGCTGAGAGAGATCAGAAAGTATCAGAAGAGCACCGAGCTCTTGATCCGCAAGCTGCCATTCCAAAGGCTGGTGAGGGAGATCGCCCAGGA